ACCTAGTGGGCAGTAATAACCAATTTAAAAAAAAAAAATAGGATTAACAAAGAATATATCAAGGCTGCAGAACCCTGAAATGTTAGAAAAAAATAGTACTTTTCTCTATATCTTCAGCCCAATTTTGTGTAATTGATTTTTATGTTTGTTAACTGATGTATTTACATCTGAAGGAGCCAGGAGGCCATGCAATAAAAAAAAGGCACCTCCCTTTTTACAATCCTATAATCCCTCAATTTTGGAGTAGCGTGGGGGCAACTGGATGGAGCTGAATGTTTACAGGCCGGATACCCTTCCTGATGCCACACAGAGTTCCCAGCAGATATTTTTTCTTCACATCCTAAGAGAGAAATATATGCCACTACCTAGGATTGAAGTCTCAACCTTCAGAGTGGGAGGCCAGCATTTTCAATACAGTACTAAGCCAACCCATCACTCATAGGTCAGCATAACATCCTGTATAATACATTGGCTTTAGCCAATTCATTCTAGTGAAGTCGGAACCATAGGTTTGTGATTTTCTGCTTGGGAGAAAAATATATTACTGCCTTCACATATCGTAATTAAAAAAAAATCTTTGATTAACCAACAGGAATTAGTTCTGCTTCTTGACATTTATAGTAGAGAAAATCATTCCATTTTCTTATCAATTATTCACAAATTTTAAGTTTTCTCAGGATGGTAATTCATAATTAATTGAACAATGGTTTGTGAATTAATTCTATTAACTGGATTTTCAAAAATAAATTAATCATAACAGATTAAAATCACACAACATATTGGTTCTGTTCCACTACTGTGATGTCCAGTGTGTTGTATTCAAGATGTTTCTCCTTCTTAATTTGGAAATCCCATAATGTGTTAGTTCTCAGCCTGGAGTACTTTGTCAACATTATGATCATATATGAACTTTGGGGCATCAAATCTATTCTTTCTGCATAAATTCCAATTTATCATTTTGCCATATAACATAATAACAGAGTTGAAAGGAACCTTGGAGGTCTTCTAGTTCAACCTCTCCTCAAGTAGGAAACCCTATATTATTCCAGACAAATGGTTGTCCAATCTCTTCTTAAAAACTTCCAGTGATGGGGATACCCACAACCTCTGAAGGCAAGATTAATCGTTCTTACTATCAGGAAATTTCCTCCTTATTTCCATATTGGTTGTCTCCTTGATAAGTTTCCATCCATTGCTCCTTGTCTTGCCTTCTGGTGCTTTGGAGAATAGGTTGACCCCCTCTTTTTGTGGCATATAATATAATCATATTACATTTTTAATCTGCGCAACTTTGCTATAGCTGGTGATTGAACAGAATCATCTTTCTCTGCATAATCTACATTTGTAGTTGTTTCCTTTTTTTAGTTTTTGTTTTTCTAGCATTTGTTGTTAGGGCTTGTTCTTGCGCTACCTTCTTGATGGATCCATTCAGAAACCATTGCCAACTTTTGTTACTATTCATCTTGCCTTCAATTTCTTTCAGGTATTGAGCATGCATAGGTATATATTGTGATCTAAAGTATCTAATTCTACTGTGTCCAGTCAATGAAACAACTCTGTGCAGTAGTGTGTTATAGAGACAGCCCAGATATTAATGAGTTTGATTGTATTACACTATGCCGCTTTAGTTTTAAAACTTTTCTACTGTAACTTATTTTACATTTTTGGTGCTGGTTTTATTTTTCACTTGGACACTCAAAGTATCATTTTCTTCTCTAAATTGCTAGAATGTAATTTGCCCCCTATTGCCTATAAAATTTAGTTATTGCCCATTTGCTCTTTTTGGCAGTAGAAAAGTAGGATCTACCTGGGCTGTTAATTTCCTAGAGGCTTGCAATACTATCCCCAAGTATTTAAAACATTTGACCTGTTCTGATTCATAGGAATCAATTGTCCACCTGTGTCTTTGTCTTTTGGTAGAAAAAATTAAGAGCAATGATGCTAAAATATATCTTTACTGTTTAAATAAAGTCAGAAAGATCTCCTCCCAATATTATTCTAAGACTATTTTTATCATATAGTTTATGAATTAGAGTCTTTTGTCTATGGAGGATCTGCTCTGAATGTCTCAGAGTTTTACCCTTGAGATATTGTCAAAAGCTGCCTTGAAATAAATAAAGACCACATATAGATTCAAGTCAGAGTGGTTTGTATATCTGTCTGCCAGATGTTGAAGCACTAGGCAATGGTCTATAGAAGATCATCCTGGCTGAAACCCTGCTTGCTCAGGCTTGAGGTCAGTGACAACATGTTTTGAAATATGTATGGGGGAGACCACACTAGGCAAGATGACAGGTGAAGCATAACATACAAGATTCACCTCTTTTGTATGTACATGCAACACTGATGTACATACAAAGGGGGGCAGAGCTGGCATTATGATGTCACATGCACCAACTTGCTTGTTTGACCCTTCCCCAAAAATATCACTGAGATAAAAGATTACAAAATAAAATGATGCTTCAAGGCTTTGCCATGTTCTGCCATCACCCTGAAATATTGGTTCCAGTCACTGTGGTCATACTTTGGAAATCGCCTAGAGATTCCAAATGGGTGCTAAGAGACTACTAGTTTACATCCTGTAGTTGCTTGCAGTTTAGGCCCATCATTCTTACTTATACAGATGTAAATTTCTTGTTTTAACTATATATACTGTCTAAAGAATTTCAGGAAGGTGAGGTGGCCAACTGACATCTCATATAATTCACAACTCTGCAACATAATATACTTAATAATGTACTATTTAATAAACATTTTAATACATGTGACTTGAATACAAATTTTTGTTGGGCTAAAGATAATCAAGGGTCTTCAATTTTACACTGCATTGTCAAAATATTCCTGTCCAATGTTATATTCTAATGAATATTTGTTTTGATAATGTGGATTGTTGGCAATTTTATTCTCTACAACCGTAGTGAAATTCTGGGCTTTAAACCACATGTAGATTGAAATACTATTTTTTTATGTTGAACATTTTGGACATATGCAACAATGCATTGGCACTTTCCCCATTCCATGTAATTACTTCTCCAGACCATCCTGTTGAACTGGATGTCATCACTGTCAGAATTAAAAACCTATTTTTTAAACATACCGAAGAAGCATAAATTTTGTAAGATATGATCAGAACTTCACATGTGCATAAACAGAACAGCTAGAGGAAACTTTTGTGTTGATTTATTTCTTTCATATCCACCACCACCCTATCCTATAACACACAGAATTTCAGGAACCAATATATGTCTATTGGAGACGGGGAGGGAGGGAGAAAGAGAGAGATGATAGATGGCAGGAGGGAGGGATAGATACCGTGTTTCCCTGAAAGTAAGACCTACCCTGAAAATAAGCCCTAGCTTGATTTTTGGGGGTGGGCCTAATACAGTGGCTTCCAACCTTTTCTATACCCTGCACCCCTAGAATGCTTCTGATATATTCTTGCATCCCTTACAAAAGTTCAAAATAATGTATTGTGCATATACATTATAATTTTGAAACTTCTAAACCCAATACTCCATGGAATATTGTCTCGCATCCCCGGTTGGGAACCCCTGGCCTAATATAAGCACTACTCCAAAAATAAGCCCTAGTTTGGGGGCAAGGTGCATGCCTAAAAAACAAGCCAGAGCGGGGGTGGGGCTTACCATTGCAGCCAGACCTCCCATGGATCGACAGTTTTCTTTGCTGGCCCACTTCTTCTGTGGCCGAAGGAGCAGCTTCATTCTACAGTTGAGAATGGAGCTTGGGCCTGCATTTCAGTCAGAGGCTTTTCCGGAAGGCCTGTGCAGCCAAGAACCAAACTATGGATTCAATCTGTAACTCCGTTCTCGGCTGCACAGCCCTTCCGGAAAAACTCTGACAGCGAAATACAGCTCCATTCTCAGCTGCAGAATGAAGCTGCTCCTTCAGCCACAGAAGAAGTGGGCCGGCTGGTCTGGACTGTCAGTGCTGCCGCCACAAGGTGAGTGGAAAAGACCCCCCCCCAAAAAAAAGACCTGGTGCCTCTTTTGGAAGCAAAATAAATAAATAAAAATAAGACCGGGTCTTATTTTGGGGGAAACACAGTAGATGGATGGATGGATGGATGGATGGATGGATGGATGGATGGATGGATGGATAGATAGATAGATAGATAGATAGATAGATAGATAGATAGATAGATAGATAGATAGATAGATAGATAAAGTGTTACAGAGTTGGTGACCATTAATATAGCAAAAGGCCATATGAAACTAATCTAAATACAACAGAACAATTTTTTGTGCAATTACAATTTATGGGAATGGCTTTCAAATGGCAAGAACAGATTTATTTCTGTTAAAAAAAAGGATTTTGACATTTTGACAGCTAGCTGGGCAATTCTGGCAGTTGAAGTCCACACATCTTCAAGTGGCCAAGGTTGAGAAACACTGGCCTAGAATCACCCAATCAGATATATAGTTGAGCATAGACCCAATCTCATGCACTACCCAATGGGCCATGGTTTATTGCAGGGAATATAGTGGGATAACTTTGAACATACCATATATCTGTAATCTTTTCATTACTGGACATTCCATCTTTTCATTTGGAGAGTAGCATGTACTGAATAATTAGCTGCCAGGGAACAATAATGGAAGAGATATCAGTTTTGAATTCAGCATCTAATTAACCTGGGGTTGGCTACTGCTTGACCACTGAGATCAACAGAATGTTGAATTGCAGAGACTGATGCTCTGATCCAATATTTCTCAACCTTGGCAACTTTTAAGATGTGTGAACTTCAACTCCCAGAATTCCTCAGCCAACCAGGCTGACTGGGGAATTCTGGCAGTTGAAGTCTATTCATTTTAGAGTTGCCAGGGTTGAGAAACATTGTATTGATCTATCAGGGCTCTTCAAATGCTTCTAGCCATGTGGCTGAGGATATGGACATTATTTTCTCACTGGAAAATATTTGGCCCAAATTGAGAAAAATGTATAAATTAGCATTATCAAAAGAAAACACTCCCACAGTTCGATCTGTGTAGCCCTTAATATCTATTTATTCAAAATAAGCATTAGAAATTCGTTTAGAAATATCACAGTTGTCAAACATAGCACATAATATGACAATAGCTATCTTAATTAAGAATATTGCATTGACTTTTTATTTACAATAACAATAATTCAATGGTGCATGTGCCTGTTCAGAAGCAAACCCCACAAAGTATGTTGGAACTTACTTCCAGGTATATAATGTAGGATTACAACCCAAATTAAGTGTCATAGATCTGTAAACATTGGCATGTAATATCCCTTCCCTCAAAGCCCTGGTATGATCTTCACAGCCCTAAACAAGCTGCTGCTGAATTTAAAATGTTAGAGAATGAAAAAGATATTAAATGCATGAGCAGTAATCATATTATAGTTAATTAACTAAGTAAACTAAAACTTATTTTTTTAAAAAGAATTGGCCAGGTTCTGCTACTTCTGTTTTGCATTCCTAGCTTTCCACTCAAAGGCTCAAACGTAGCCTTCAGTCCCCAATAGTTTATGCAACCCTGGTTCACAAAATAATTTAATTAGAAAACATGTTTGGGAAACGAGTATTTATCTGGCAAAAACAGAGCATCTTTCTTCTTTGTCAACTGGTTCTAAAGCCAGAATTTGTGTCACAAGTAAAAATAAAAAGGCATCTATCTCCCTGACACGAATGAAGCTTGAGGTGTCCTTGCTAAATAAAAGGATTTAGGTACACTGACTATTCATTACCTTGATTAATCTTCTCAGGAAATATTATATTCACAGAAACATTTTCATCATCATTTGCTTTTAGAAAGAAATCCCTCTCCTTGCGCAGTAAATGGCTGTATCTGGCATTGGCTAGCCATACTTCAAATTTAGAGAAAAATATAATCCCAGTTGTACCCAAAACAACAAGACATGTAAGAAAGCTTAGGATCATGAAGCAGATCACCTGACTCTTAGTGAGCAAGGACTGCCTATTTTCAATTGTCTCTTTTATGGTCAGTATTTCCTTCTCTTGCTGCTGAGCTGGTTTACGGTGCCCTCTGAAATGCAGGTGGTGATTCTGATTCCATCTCTGTTTAGCCACCACATACACACTTGTGTTTCTAGTGAAAAAACTACAGGTGGCCCCAACAAAGTATGGTTTGCAAATACACATGAAGCCTCTGCCACGGTGTCCATGACATGTCCCACCATTTTCACAAGGGCTACTATCACAAGCTGGGATGCGGTTACTGCACAACACACCTCCATAGCCAATAGGACAAGAGCAGTGGAAACTCTTTCCAATATCTGTGCATGTGCCTCCATTTTCACATGGGTTTGGTTCACAGTCATCAATATCACGTTCACAAAACTGTCCAGTAAATCCTGGAGAGCACATGCAAGATGCGTAAAGTGCAAACCCATCATTGTCCAAACAACTTCCTCCATTTTGACAAGGTGAGCTGCAATTCCAAAGAAGAGGAAATGAAAATACATGAACAAAAGGTGATAGTTTATCATTCATACCAGTAGCAGTTCTCTATCACATTTATCTCTTCTCCTCCTCCCACTTTTTTTTTTAAAAAAACCTGGCATGTATAAAATGAAATGTTTTAAGCTTGAAGGAAAACACCACCCCTGGAGGTGTTTTACTAAAACATTTCAAACAATCCATTTCAATTGTTAATCTAGGCCCACAGAGGCCACTGTTTCACTGTTGTGAAAAGGGGTTCACAGCTTGACTGCCTGGGATCATAGGCAGCTCTTTCCCATTTGCTTTGGAAAGGCTTCATCCATATCTTCTTCCTGGTTGGGCATGGAAGAGTAGATAATAGCTGTATTGCTTTTATTTGTTCCCTCATTTACTTTAACCCAAAGTTCATTCATTCTGAGCAGATCTTTTTAAAATACAGTTAGTTCTTTTCTTCCTTTTCTCTGCTTTTGTTCCTTTTGAAGAAATCGTATCCTTCAGTCGCTACATTCCAAGATAATTATCATATCATATGTCTGCTGTGTTTATTAAGTCATTTTTGCTTTTTATACTAAGAGCTCAGACTCATCTTATTTCCCATGGTCTTAATATTAGTTTATAACTAATGAAAGTCATAATTTTTTGAGCCAATATTCTGATTTTTCTTTGTGAGCTTTCAGAAATCTCATTTCAGCAACTTCTACAGTGCACAAGTCTTTATGAGGTCTTACTGCATTTCCACCACTCATTGGTTTGTATTTAAAGTCTTCCTGATCAACATATTTTTATCAGTTCCTGCAAGGTACATCCCATTTTGTGCCAGCAATCTATCTACAAAGTTCAGACCATGATTCTGGAAACCAAATCTATTCCTTTACTGATAGTTGAACTTAAATACCTCAAAAACCTAGGATACGATCAGTCTAGAACCGATAGGACATATTCTTGTGCTATGGCTTTTTGTAATGTTAAAAATGAATTGTGAAGAGGAAATACTGAGGACTGAAAAGTTACTGATGTCCAACAAATATTTGTAATGCTATTAGATCAGAATATATTTTAAATGTATCTCTCTACTTTTATGCTTTGTGTCCTCATGCCTTTCATCTATCTCATTTTATAATTTACTATGAAAAAAAGCAAAAAGAAAGAAATTGATATCGCAATTGGGGGAAACAAATTACATAGTCATGCTTAAAAGTCTAGGGTTTGTATTAGAAGTGTTAAGATTCTTGTCCAAAGCTGCTATTATGGAACATAGTTGAGTAGAGACTTTCAGATCAGGTTTAAAAACATCATATAAAACATGAAAGCTAATAGTTTGAAGTCTATTTTTCTGAAATAATGTATACATATTCTTTATTTATATGGAAAGTTATGATAAATATTGGAATCTTTGTTGGGATTACTTCCCAATTACTTGTTCCAATACATGTAATTCTGCTGGAAAGAAATCAGAACATACAGAATATACATACTATCTAGTCAGCTGTGGTGCTACCCACAGCTTCCCAATTAAAAGGACACTCACTGTTGTCTTTTTTTTTTAACTCATGAACTAAGAAATGACTTAACCATATTAATTTGTTTTATTGCTAGAGAACAAACACATTTACAGCAAAACAGTCTCCTTTAATTGCAAAAAAGCCAACTCTTCTTCTTCAGTTTTGTTTTTTTTCTCTCATTTAGACATTGAAGTCAAAAGTGAGCAGGGCAGGTGAGTAGCACACCAAAAACAAAGGAATATATCAAATTTATCTAACTAATGAATTTGCTTTCTCATTTACAAGTTACATTTTCCCCCAGTCTCCATTTTAGAAGGGTAGAGAACGGGCACAGAAATAAAAAGACAGACACTGAGGGGCTGTGATCTTGAGAATTCCTTTCAACAAAGGGAATTCCAGCAGCTGCCATGCCAATACATCTTGAAAGTGTCAAACTGAAGGAGATTGTATTAGTTAACAAAGTCAAGTGTAAATCAACAACAAATATGGATCCATATTTACCCATTAACAATACAGGGTCCCTTTT